AAAAAATATTCGATTAATGGAATGTGATTTATGTTCACTTGAATCCGTTCGTAATTTTGCTAATTTATATAATAGTGAAGAAGAAAGACTTGATGTATTAATATGTAATGCTGGTATTGGTTGGTCACCCCATGCGGTTACAAAAGATGGATTTAATTCTGTTATTCAAGCGAATTATCTTGGTCATTTTTTGTTAACAAATCTACTTTTAAATAAATTAAAAGCAAGTCGTCCAAGTCGAATTATTAATGTTTCATCGGGTGCACATAAGAGTTTGTATTAAAATAATAAAAGTATATTTTATGTCATTGTATTTCTATTATAGTAATTCGATCGATTGATTGGTCTGATGTATTTATACAATTTAAAAATACTCGTCTATTTGGTGCACAATTTTTGTCAAAAGCATTTCAAATATTATCAACTTATAAATTAAAACAAGATTTACTTGGTAGTCTACTTGAATATATGTTGTTTTTCTTTTCTAAGTTTAATCATTTCCTATTTAGCGGAGGGTGTTGATGTATTTGCATTAAACCCCGGTTGGGCCTGGACATCTCTTCGAGAAGCAATGCGAGAGACTCTTGGAATATGGCGATTTCTTATTTTCTATCCAATATTACGTTTGCTTAAAATCGCTTTTGCTAAAACACCTAAGATAGGTGCACGTACAACGATTTATTGTGCAGTTGAACCTTCACTCGAACATTCACCACATCTCTATTTTGAGTATGTATCTTTTTATAGAACAAAACAAAAAAGATTCGAATTTTTTGTTGTAGAAATTGTGCTGTTGCCCAACCGACTTCGTTTTGTACAGATAAAATAACAGCTGATCGTTTATGGAAATTAAGTGCTGAAGCAGTCGGATTGAAATAATTGATAGTTTTTCTATTGTAATATTTTTTGTTTTAGAACAAAATAAATACTGAAAATAATCAAAAAACAAAAACAAGAGTTTTCTTTTGTAGATATAGACCTCTTGCAATCGATAATCGATATAGAATGCCTTCTTTCATAGCTTCACATTTCGGAGAGATTTATTCATAGTTACTTAGGGTCTATATGATAGACATAGTCGCACATGACTAAATTTTGATTTAGTTCTAGTTCCGGCTAAGACAAAAGTATTTCAGAATGAATTCACATTAGACTGAAACAAAGTCTTTAATATTCGTATTTTGGATCATTCAGCTGATGACTATCATTTATTTTTTGCTTATCTCTTCTGAATTTTTCTTTAATTGATGTGACTTTTAATATTAATTAGCTACTATTTTCATTTTCGGTTCGAACAATTGCTTTCCTCGTAGTCTCAGTTCCAGTAAATTTTTATTATATGTATTTTGGTAATTTTTCTAATTGCTTATTAATTTACTCAGCAGTTATTTGTATTTATGGAATAAATAATTGGCTGTTGTAGCAGCAAGAATATCTTTGGTGGGGTGTAGGTGTGGGTATGTGGGTGTGTGGGTGTGGATGGGTGTGGGTGTGGGTGTGCGTGTGTGTAGATGATAATTAAGATACCATAAACAAGCAGCCACTTCCACCGACACCCCACACCCACACCTCACACCTCACACCCACACCCACCCCCCCCCCCCCACTCCCACCCCCACCCACACCCTCAATATATAAATTTACTTTCGAGGATGCTGTTAGTTAGTTCAAAGTTCCAATGC